AAGAAAATTGTGCAATTCATGGCCTTTTGGAAAAATAGATGGGTTTCCCTGGTAAATGGGGCATGAACCCCATCTAAACCAGTGCCATCTATTTTTAACCAAACTAAACTAAAAGGGACACCTACGTCATGGGGTTGTCCCATGATTTCTCGCCTTGATCTTATCTCGGTTGCAAAATCTGCTCCCCTGCTAAGTGACTAACTTTTGGTGCTTTATGTAAAACCCATTCGTTGGCAAAAAGCTACAGTCCAAACATCCCTTGGCAAGATACGCCGCCATGCAACGGGGCAGGGGTCAAAGTGCCGACCGCTGAGACCCTTGGAACCCTGGAACGTGGCTGGGGTAGAGTGATTTCTGACTCGCAATGGTTCGTCAATGTGGGAGTCCTTTTGCGATTTCCCCTAGACAAAATGAAGATTCGACATATAGTTCCAGTAGTGAAGTCGATACCCTTAGCCAACAGGACAAAATCAACCATTTCTTCTTACCCTGAGCCCAAAGCCTCATGATTTGCGGATATTTGAGGTCTAAGGCCCTCATATTTAGGGTCTTGGGTTAGGGTTAAGCACATGGACACTGGGTACTTGGTGTAGCACGTTTAGAAGGCCGCGAGTGAGCGCACTCGAAGGGATCATCTTCTGAATCCACATCCAGGGTCTCGCCTGGCGTGCGGAAAGCATTCCACAAAGGGACGTGACGACCCTAAGGAGTGCTTTGGAACCCATAGCCAGGCTCACTTCCCGAGAAGATTGGCCCAAAAAAAGAAACACAACGTTTTGTTTACCATTTTGGGACTAGAGTCTAGAAACTCAGGGAGTGAGCAGGCCCGCGGTTCAGAAAAGATCCTCTTCCCGCCAAAGGAATGCTCGGAGCTTGTCCTTCGCAATGCTTCGCTTACTTCCCGGCGGCATTGCGGGATTGATTGATTGCAACGTCGGCCCCGCCTGAACTCCGCCACCACACGAAATGGAAACCACCTTAAGTTACCCAAAAGGTGATGTTTTCGGCCAGTGGGGAAGCACCTCAATTTCCAAAAAGTTTAGAGGCTGCCAATCGAACCACAAAGCTAGCGGCCGGCACGGGACGGATCATTGTTCACAAGATTCCAGGCTTCAACTTTACACCTTCACTGGTGTGTGTGTGTGTGTGTGTGTTTGCCTAATTTTCCCGTTGGTTTCCAATTGAAAAGCCAAAAAAGACAACGGTACCCTCAAACAAATCACACCCCACTTGAGAGCTGTCGTCTGGTGGCTTGCGGCTTCGTAAACCAATTGCAAAAGTGGGAGGCTCCAAGAAACAAACCCGTGGCCTGTCAGCCGAAACAATGCAAGCCCACAAGGTCATCTGGCCTGGGGGGGGGGGCGGAGGGAGCCCAAACAAGCCCCAGATACGGCTATATGAAGGGCTTAGTAAAAGCTCATTTGGACTCCCTCCCTGACTAAACTTGGTGTGTCTCCCCCCCCCCAAAAAAAAAAAACAAAAACACCTCCGGGGTGTCCGTTTTCGTACCCTCAAACAAAGGTGAGCAGAAAAACGCCGCGCCTACGACTGGCGCGGGCTCCTCCGGACGGGAGCCGGAGGAAGGCAGGTCATGGCAATCCCTTCTGCAAAAAGTTGTCTGTCAAATTACCGTTTTTTTTTTGTGTTTTGAAGGAAAGCCAACAGGAACACCACCTTTTTTGGGGGCTCCTCTCACAAAAACACACTCCCATATCGATCCTACAGTCCTCAGTTGCCCTTTCGAGACCCAGAAATCAAAAGTGATCGCCCTTTGGAACCTCGACTACATATGGACCAAAACAGTAAACTGAAGGGTCAAAAGGTCGGCTTGCACGTGAGAGTATATTCTCCTGTGCAATTAAAGTCTGACGTCGACAAGACACAATGTAGTGTTCAATGAGAAAAGACAACTCCTCAAGGAGTGCTCCAAGTCCTACTATATGAACTGGGCCAAGTTGGGAGAAGTGCGACCATGACCCTATAGTTGCATGGGTTACGAAGTGGGGGGTGGTCATCCAAGTGGGGACCATGACCGCAGTCGAACCCATTGACGCAAGTCGCGTATCTGAGGAATCAACGACTAAATGGGCTCAGCTCCCAACCACTACTTCAAGCAGCCCTTGGAAGAACCACGTTACACGCTGCCACTGCTCGTCCTCTGCCTCATCGAACAGATCTGCTAGGGTATGGGATTCTTCGTGATCTTCACCTGAGACGGCTCAGTGGAGAAATTCTCGCGAATGTTTACCCCGGAGGAATCCACCCATGTTTTATCCCGGGTGGGGTATCCCTGGGCCCCGGTGGGGAACACCCCTTTGTTTAAACTGGGGTTGACGAATGCGGGAGCTTCAAAAGGAATCCTAGACTTTCCAATTTCAACGTGAACCCAGCCTCGCAAATCCAAACAAATTGCTGCCCTGGACCATCCTGGACCCCAAACCCGGGGTGTACCTTCTAATGACCTACTTGAAGAGTCCGACAAGGGTCAATGTACATCACAATGTACATTGGAGCCTTACGGTATCAATTTAAGACTTGGCACCCCCACCCATGCGGCGAACATGAATCCCCAACGGGCATGTTGGTGCCCAAAGGATCGACTGTTGAAATTCACACCCATACTGTGGATGGACGAAATCCATTTTGTGCCCGCGTGAAGCTGTGGCTGAAATCAATGTTTGTTTTTTTTTTACGGGAGAATCATCATTCCAGGGTTTCTGGACGGTGTATCCACAGTATGACACCACCCAATGACGGCGTTTCCAGGAACGGTCGGTGGTTGATGGAAACAACCGCTCGTGCGGCCCTGGCACCAGTAACCATTTCCCGTTGAAAGCAACCCCAATGGATCTGTGACCATTAGGCAAGCACCGTTACCGTTGCGATAGTGCCCCTTCCTGGGAAGAATGTAATTGTTTGGTGGGATCGTTAATCCCTGAGCTCGAGTTTGCCTGGAGCCTGCACCGACCAGTGAACCATGAGAAAATAACGTACCCTGTCTGGGCTCTTGATGGTAGAGGGATCCCCCTTTAAAACAAGGGAACATCAGCCCTCATGGAGCATTCAAAGCGAGCTGCGCGCTGGGCTTGCTTTTTAGAGGGCCCCCCCCCGCCAACAAGAAGACTTTGAAACTGGAAAACGGCGTAAGCCCAAGCTTGGCCCCAGTTGAGAAGCTGAGCCCGCCGCCAATGCTCTGCTCTTGCTTCCTTCCTTGGCAAAAGGGAAGCATCGGGATCTGCGTCTTCCTTCTTTTGGCACCATGTTCAGCTTGCTTTAAAGGGATGCCAAAAGGGAAACACATGTCCTGGTTTGTTTATCCCCATTTGACACCTGCGTTGGGTTTGCCTTTGGTTTCCCTTCTATATATCGTGTCTATGGGTACCAGAATCCTGGCTGTACTCCGAACCCCCCAGCACCGCCTTGGCTCTACGGCGGCAGTTCTCCTATCTAACAAATACGAACAAAGTCCTGTCACGAAAGCATACGTTAAGGCGTTGGAGATGGCAAAAAACCTTTGCACGGTGCTTTGGCCCTTCTCGCGGTCCCCCTCCAAAACCATCCCGAAAAACAAGGTGCCGACCCCTTACATGTTCCCACCCTCGAAACAAACATCCCCCCCAAAAAATAGACAACAAAAACAAACAAAAAACAAAAACAAAAAACAAAAGAGGATTCCGTCCTCCGGATTTATCCGAAATTAACATTAAGCAACAAAAGCCAGGACCAATGTCTACCTGCAGCCAAGAGGACGAGGGTAGAGATCCTGGCCAGGGGCGGGGGTGCAAACAAAGCGGCTATCTGGCCCAAAAGAATATGACTGTAAGAGGATCAGGGGTTGCTGGATTTCCAAGTCACAATGTACTGGCATACAGAAACTGCCACATTTGGAGGCTCGAAAAAGGGAAATTGAGGAACCCTGACAGTCATATTATGCAAACAAAAAGGGATTGGGTGAAATTGGGTGGTTGAATCAAGGGGGGGGGGGTAAGGGGAAGGGATACGACCGCTCACCCAACAGCGGGCGTTCACCCAAGAACCTGACAGACCGGCTCTTGTCCTTCGGAGCGTCGGCCGGCAGGGCGCGCTGTGCCACGACCTCAATACGGGAACCCGCTGGAAAACGCACCCTAAGCGGAAAATGGTGGCTTTCCCACTGGTTTGCACACCCGCCCAACACAAGGGTACGTGAAAACAGCGCGCGCGCACACCAAAAAAAAGGGGAACAAGGTTCCCTATAACACCGTGTGTTTGGCGACCTTAAGTATGATAAATACTGCAACTTCCAAGTTGACTCTAGAATTTCTCTAGCAACCCCCCCGAAACCTGCTAACCCCATGATCAACAACTTGAGTGCCCCAAAAGTAATCCCGTCTCAATTATCAACGGACCCCCCACCATAGAAACCCTCCAGCCGACCCCAACAATTGCCAACACGTATGTCCAATTGCCCACTACGTTAACCATACCAAACTTCCAAGAAGCCAGATGAACCCAGCAGATGTGCTTAACAGTTTTCCCAAACCAAAGGTTGCCTTGTAACTTGTGAAGCAGCTTTGGCCAAAAACCCGGGGGACCCTAATAATAAAAATCTTCAATATTTTTTTTTGCTTAGGGGGGGATCGGGAGGGGGACCGCTTACTATTAGGGATACTGGGTTCTCCGACTTCAGGGGGAGATGGGAAAGCAGCCCTAGGGTCTTGTGGTTTGGATCGGAGATCCAAACCAAATTTGCCGCCGTCAGCTCCCATCTTGCGATTGCTGCCCGCATAGTGCGATTCGCCTGTTCTTCGGACCAGTCGGACAAGAATCCGGCAAGTCCGGATTCCTGAGCCCCGAGTTGGCACAGCGCGGGTGCCCAGTGCGTTTCATACAGGTTGACCAATCTTTACAACTGAAACAAACCTCCCTCTGCGAAGCGCATTTGTGAATCGCAGCACGTCTTCGCTGAAATCCGGCCGCCCGTCAGCACGCTCGAGAACGCTGTTGTTCAAGTCACTTCATGATACATTGGCCATGACCCGAACGACAGCATTGTCCAGCAGCTTGGCTTACCAGAAACTCGGTTGGCCGAAATCAAAGCTTAACAACCAAACACAAAAAATGGGAGCCCAGGGGTTCCTGCTCGTGGCACGCCCAACAGACAGAGCTTGCACAAGGAATGGGTGTCGGGCAAACAGCATTGCCTGTAACTTCGCGTTCTTGGGCTTGGAGCCCTCCGCAAACGCTTTGCTGGTTGAACCAAAGAAAAAAATGCCAAGGCTGGCAATGAAATACACGAAAGGGCTTCCGACTACAACTCTGCTCCCAGCGACAAGTGAGAATAGGTCCTCAACATCCTGCTTTGAGATTGCGTCGTCTTTGAGGGTACTTTTGTTTGAGTCTATTTTACCCAATTTGGGGTTCCCCAAATTCTGAGACATGCCCCCAGCGCATCTTTGTGGGAGTTGACAGCCTTTAATGGGGGTTCTGCAATGACTTTGACGACCCTGAAAGCAATCAACAAGCGCTTTTGGCCCCCTTGCAACCAGTGACGCGAATGGTTGACAAGTGAGCCCTTGGTCGGGAGCCTCATTGACCTGCTGACCTTGACAGCAAATGACCCAGTTGGTAAACAGCTTCCACCTGTCTTGGGATTCGAAACTCAAACCGCAGTCCACTCTGCTTGGCAGCGCTTTGGCAGGATCTCACCAGCCCAAAGGACCGAGAGAGATCACGATTGATCACATGGGACCTTTACCAAAAGTGGTTGCCATGGTTCAAAAAAAACCGAAAACTTGATCTGCTCGGCTTGGAATTCTTTTTTTTTGCCCCAGCCATAGGCGGCATCAGGCCCCATGTTTGTTCAGATCTCGTGTGGCTCCGCGCCGGTGGCGGCTCTGTGATGGGGCGCCAGCCTGGGTGTCCGATTCTCGCGGCGTTCGAATCGATGCGTCAGGTAAGCTTCCACTTGCTTCAGCCCCTGAACAATATACGTTTACACAAATCAACAGCAAAAAGCAAAACATATAGTAGTGATAAGTTCCCCTTAAAACCAACAGGGGAAAATGACAAACAAGCAAATGTAAGTAAGTGACTAGAAACCTCGGTTGCAACCCACTTGTGGCTACAAGTCTGCTAAGTAGGTTGCAACCTGCAACCATGGTTCAGCATTTACTAAGCAGCCGATCTTGGAGAACCTAGTTTTGGTTCACCCTTGTTGGTCCATGGTTAGAGGCAACCTCTTGGCCTGGGGGCCTTTGAGCAACCGAGTTGCAGCAACCAGCGCCAGTTGTTCCAAGCCCAAGCGGCTCCAAATCGGAGTCCCAGAGAGGTTAGAATAAGGGTACCAACTTTTTGCTGTAGTCTATTTTAGTAGGGGAACCCTCCCCCACAAAAGGGTAAACGGGTACTGGGGGACCTAGTGGGGCAACTGCACATCCCTGCACTGAGCAAAGAACTGCAGCTCACTTTTGAGCGCTTCTGGCAAGCGGAGGTCCATAATACCTCGGTTGACCGCGCCACCTTGGCGATCCGCGTCTGCCGCGTCAAAGCTGCGCCATTGCTTGCCACACCCTCGATGACCTTGGCGCCAATCATCTCGTGGCGTGCACTCACCACAGCCTTCAGCAAGGCGCGATTGGGGTCCTTGTGCAGCCAATGTTTTGGATCTCCGGCATCTCGAATCTTTCTGCTTCCTCCAATCAAGGCCATGGTGTTGGCTGCCACGTCCAACCGTGCGTTGACCTGAGTGAAGGTCGCTGTAAGATCAATTGCAACACACCCTTGCTGACTGGCCTGATGACAATGAACCATGATTCAACAAGGTCAAACACTGTTCATAGCTCGAACGGAGCTTGCAGGTTCCCCGCACCACCTCTCCACTCGCGTCTAAAAAAAGTGGTGGCCCAAAATCCACCGGGACCCGTCAGATCAACGGACGCCTCTGATAGCAAGACTTGTGTAGATCAACATGTGTCGCCGACCACAATTGGGTTGGCTCCCCTTTTTCTCAAGCTGCGGTTGGCGAACAGTGCCAAAAGTATGGGCCATACCCTTTTGTTGATTGATACTTGGCCCACTACCCTCCTTTACAAGCGGATCCTCTCAAGCAGCTCTGGTGTTGTCGGCGAGTTGTTCACTGGCCGAGATGTGTCCTATAGCTGGGTTGGGGCCTGACGGGCCTAACCTTTTGCAGGCGTAATGGAAGAGCCAACTGGGTATGTGTCAAAATTGGGGGCAATCAAAAGGGCTGTCTTCCCTTTGGTTTCCCTATCCAACCTGAAAAGGGCCCCAGCTCAAAAACATACCCTCCATTGGCTGAAGTGTCCCCTGGAAAAAGGTAAAACAAACAAAATCCAATAGTGCTAGATTCTCGTGAAAACCAACCAGGGGAAATCAAACATAGTCATTTCAGCAAATGGAAAAAGCTCATGTGTTCCAATAGATTCCAAAAAGCCCATACCAATGGGTGCCCAAAATAACTGATTTCTGTTGGCGTTCCTGCAAAACCACCAACAAGGGCTCCAAAAAGGCACACCGATATATTGGAGTCACAATCGCCATCCCAAATTCCCGCATCGCCTTGTGCCGGCTGCGCCCAATGCTTTGGCTGGCCCCGCCGGGCCTGGCAATTACTGCTAGTTCAGTTGGGCACATCGAAACCATGGCACAAGCATGTACGGAGCAAATTTAAACTCAGGACCCTTTGATAGATTTGTTATTACGCTGATGTATATCCACCATGCTGTTTGTTGTGTGTGTTTCTTTCTTGAGGGAGGTCAAACGAAAATGCCTCTTTATATATATATATATAGTCATACTCTGGATTCTGAAGAAACCAGGATGGACACTAGCTGGAACATTGTTTCATCGGCCCTAGCCAAAGAGAAAAAGAAAGCTCCTCTCGGCTTTCCATATGGTCTGATAAACAAACGGTAGCTACCCATCATGTGCTCGAGGGAACAACGTTCAGCCCTCAATGCTTCGCCTCGGCAACTAACAGTCCTTGGTTGACGTTGGAAGGGGAGTAAAAAAATCAAGTTTTAGCAGTTAAGTGGTTGGATTTCCGGTTAAATCACAATAAGCAAAAAGGTAGAATGTTTCCCAACAACAGCCATGAGTCAGGCTTTGCCGCTGGAATCTTCAGGCGCCAGCAAACCCTCTCTGGGAGTCAACCTCTTGCCCCATCCCTCAAAGGGCCCTTGAAGTGGCCTCTGACTCTGGCCTTCGGAAGTCGAGTCAAGAGAAGTGATGCAGCTTCCCTTGCGGCAAACAAACAAAGCGCGATCAATCGATCGGACAGCATTGCTCAGTGATTCCATCCTGAAACGGACGGCATGAAAAAAAACCTATACGCTCAATGGCGAGGCCTTTTCTCGAAACCACCTTTCACTTCCGAAATGGACCGACCGGTCAAGCAGATCCTTCCAACAAGTATAGCCAGGTCCAGGAACTCGGAGACCCAAGGTTGACTTGGCCGAAGCCCAAGCGAGCTGCTTGACACCGTGGGCAGGCAATTGGTGCAAGCAAACAGTTCACGTGTGCACGTGTCTATTAGAATTCCGATACCTTTCAGGTTTTCATGGGCTCCTCAACCGGGTTTCAACTACGTCTTTCCCCTTAGGACAAAAACACATCCATGTGGCTGCCCCTGGGCTTCCCTTGATTTCCGAATACCAGCGGCTTTGTTATCGCACCCGGCCTTCAGAACACAGGGTGGCAGGAACAGCCTCGGCTTAAACACACGTGGCATGTGAGCCTCTAGGATGCAAGCAGGGCGCACGGCAAGTGCTTATCTCAAGTAGCCTGCCCCTTCAAGTCACGTGCGGGGCTGGCCGAGAACAAAAAAACGTCCGACCAGTTCCTGCTTTGTCTTCCGCCCCTGTTGCCAGTGAAACGCAATAAGCCTCAGGCTCTGCCTGGTGCGTTCCAATGCTTCCTGTCAACCCTGCGAATCAAAAGGTCACTGGGGTACTGGGTTCCGCACATGTCTGTCGCATACACACATCGACCCAAAACGGAACCTATAGGTGTGTCTCAAAATAGGCGAAACCCCAAAAGTTTTTGTGTTCCTTTTGGTTCCCCTTTAAACTTTAAAGGGCACCCGCAGAAGAAAAAAACAAAACAAACACACACCCATATCTCGCCCAGGTTGACCACTAGGTCAGCTGGAATTCTGAGAGTTCATTTCTCTGGGTGAAAAAAACATGGAGGATAAGCCCCCCCATACACCATAGCCCTTGCGCCAACATCTTGTAACATCTATGAAGGGCCCCCGGAGACGGGATTGACAGCTGTTCCATGCCTGCCCGTCAGCAATTCAAGGGGAAAAGGACCAACGCCAATGGTCAAAGCGCAATCAGTAAATGGCCGTTGGCTCACCAGGTGCAATACACGAACGACCCCACCCACCCATTGTAAAAAACAAGGATCCACTGTCCGTCTGGCTTTGGGTTGCATACGTTAAGTTAACTTAACAGTCCAAGTACTTCTTAGAAGATGCGGTGACCCTTTGAAACCACTCTGTCTGCAAATACTGTGACCCCTGAGAAGCCATCCCCGGCTTCTGAAGGGTACTTGGACGCCGCTAAACCTCCCGGCGCATCCGCCACGTCGGGCTCCTCATCCGAATCGCCTCCGGGGGTTGAGACGGGAGGCTTCCACCGCTTTTTCGGGGAGGCAGGGGGGGGGGGGTCCGGTCTTCCATGCGATAGGGAACACGAAACTAGGCTTGGAGTCCAGGGCTAATTCCAATTTCAAGGAGCTCGGGTTAAGGGAGTGTTCGAAGGGTTGGGCCGGCGATTTCTGTTCAAACTGCGTGGCGCTTTGCCTTCTCATATGGGGGATGAATAAAAACCAACGGTTGACTCCTATGATCATGACTTAATATGCAAGCACCCCCACAACCATGGTAAGCTATCTGTGTGACACCTCGGGGAAGGGGGCTCATCTGTGCCCACATTTTCGGCTCATCTCCGCCCGCACAGAAGTGACTCGTCTGCGCCCACATTTTCTGACTCATGTGCGCCCACAGATTCTTTCGCGAATACATAGAAGTTGACCCTTTGCAAAAAGGGGTCAGCGGAGGATCATCTGCGCCCACACTTTGGGCTCATCCCTGCCCACAGAGAGTTTTAGGATTTTTTGGGCGTAGGGTCATCAGGGTTTAGGTTTTTAGGGTTTTTAGGGCTAAGGGTTTTCAGGGTTTAGGATCTTTGTTGATTAGGGTGTTCAAGGTTTAGGGTTTTTAGGGTTTAGGGATTTTAGGGCTTAGGATCTTCAGTGTTTAAGGATTTTAGGGTTTAGGTTTTTTTTTGGGGTTTAGGGTTTTTAGGGTTAAGGGTTTTCAGGCTTTAGGGTTTTTAGGGTTTAGGGATTTTAGGGTTTAGGGTCTTCAGGGTTTAGGATTTTCAGTGTTTAGGGTTTTTAGGGTTAAGGGTTTTCAGGGTTAAGGGTTTTTAGGGTTTAGGGTCTTCAGGGTTTAGGATCTTCAGTGTTTAGGGTTTTTAGGGTTAAGGGTTTTTAGGGTTTAGGATCTTCAGTGTTTAGGGTTTTTAGGGTTAAGGGTTGTCAGGGTTTAGGGTTTTTAGGGTTTAGGGATTTTAGGGTTTAGGGTCTTCAGGGTTTAGGATCTTCAGTGTTTAGGGTTTTTAGGGTTAAGGGTTTTTAGGCTTTAGGGTTTTTAGGGTTTAGGGATTTTAGAGTTAAGGGGTTTAAGGTTTAGGGTTTTTAGGGTTTAGGGTTTTTAGGGCTTAGGATCTTCAGTGTTTAAGGATTTTAGGGTTTAGGTTTTTTAGGGTTCAGGGCTTTTTGGGTTTAGGGTCTTCAGGGTTTAGGATCGTCAGTGTTTAGGGTTTTTAGGGTGAAGGGTTTTTAGGGTTTACGGTTTTTAGGGTTTAGGGTTTTTAGGGTTTAGGGGTTTCAGGGTTTAGGGCTTTTAGGGTTTAGGGTCTTCAGGGTTTAGGATCTTCAGTGTTTAAGGATTTTAGGGTTTAGGTTTTTTAGGGTTCAGGGCTTTTTGGGTTTAGGGTTTTTAGGGTTTAGGGGTTTCAGGGTTTAGGGAATTTAGGGTTTTTAGGGCTTAGGATCTTCAGTGTTTAAGGATTTTAGGGTTTAGGAATTTTAGGGTTAAGGGTTTGTAGGGTTTAGGGTTTTTAGGGTTTAGGGGTTTTAGGGTTTAGGGTCTTCAGGGTTTAGGATCGTCAGTGTTTAGGGTTTTTAGGGTGAAGGGTTATTAGGGTTTACGGTTTTTAGGGTTTAGGGTTTTTAGGGTTTAGGGGTTTCAGGGTTTAGGGCTTTTAGGGTTTAGGGTCTTCAGGGTTTAGGATCTTCAGTGTTTAGGGTTGTTAGGGTTAAGGGTTTTCAGGGTTTAGGGTTTTTAGGGTTTAGGGATTTTAGGGTTTAGGGTCTTCAGGGTTTAGGATCTTCAGCGTTTAGGGTTTTTAGGGTTAAGGGTTTTTAGGGTTTAGGATCTTCAGTGTTTAGGGTTTTTAGGGTTAAGGGTTGTCAGGGTTTAGGGTTTTTAGGGTTTAGGGATTTTAGGGTTTAGGGTCTTCAGGGTTTAGGATCTTCAGTGTTTAGGGTTTTTAGGGTTTAGGGTTTTTAGGGTTTAGGGTTGTTAGGGTTTAGGGTTTTTAGGGTTTAGGGTCTTCAGGGTTTAGGATCTTCAGTGTTTAGGGTTTTAAGGGTTAAGGGTTTTTAGGGTTTGTGGTTTTTAGGGTTTAGGGATTTTAGGGTTTAGGGGTTTCAGGGTTTAGGGATTTTAGGGTTTAGGGTCTTCAGGGTTTAGGATCTTCAGCGTTTAGGGTTTTTGGGGTTCATGGTTTTTAGGGTTTAGGGTTTTTAGGGTTTAGGGTTTTTAGGGTTTAGGGGTTTCAGGGTTTCGTGACCCATAGTAGACACCTATGGCAGTTTCTCAGAATATTATCTAAGAGCTGTAAAGTCCCAAAACACCTAAGATCATCTGCGCCCATACAATACTTGTGAGTACTGCATTTGTGAAGTTTAGAGCATAGGGGACTGCCATCAATCTGACTCATCTGCGCCCACCACGCGGGTAGAAACGAGTGGATTCCAGCGGGTACAGACGAGTCGCAAAACGCGGGTACAGACGAGTCGCCTACCGCACCTGCTGGAACAACAAAGGCTAGACACACATATGCTTATTCTAGCCAGTATTCTTAGAGTTCCCCGGCCAAAGGGCACCCATTGGTGGATTCCATGCTAGTTTGTGGGAAGGGTAAGCTCTTAAGTTCTCATTCCTGTCCTGAGTGGCTGAGTGGTGACCTCGGTCAGGATGGCACAATGACGCATCCTCCTGCTGCTGTAAGAGCAGGGCCTGTTCCTGGTAACCTGTGGTGGAGACCTTGTTCCATGCAGCGATCCGAAGATAGGCCCAACCCACTCGGGACGCATGGCAGCTCTCAGTTCGCAAAGGACAGCCCCGAAACCGCCAGGTGAACACGATCGGCTTAGCTTGGCTTCCGGCCTGTAAGAAGCATTGAGCCCGCTGCTTCCGGCTCAAGGTTATGGCAGGGCTGTGTCCCTTCATGCGACCTAATTCAATGACCGGCACATTCAACTCAGAGGACCTAAGCCGGAGCGCGTGACATATAGAAAGCCAATGATTGGCCACTGCTGTTGTATGTCCTGTAAACTGAGATCTGGATAAGAAGCCTTCAAAACCCAACCAGATAAAGTTAACTTTGGATGAAACAGGAGGACCGTGCTGCATAGTAGGGGAGATCCTCTAATTTGCATGTTCGTGTGGAGTAATCGGAGGTGAACATCGAAATGGCTTAGCACACATCTACCATAGTCTTGTCCTGATCTTCTTGTAGCTCGCATCGCCTTCAATGCATGGAGCGACTTCTTGATGTAGTGGGCCATGAGCCAATGCTGAGTTGTCGGAGCCAAACGCACGGCACCAAACTTCCCCTGGCCCCAGAACCAACAACGAAGAACAAATTCTTTGCTGATTGAGGGCCTCGCGGGAAACTTGCATGTCCCGAAAGTCCCCGAAAGTCAAAAGATCCAAGGTCAAACCAAAAAGCAAGACACATATCCATCTGCAAATTCACAATAATTCCCAACCCTGTGAAATCAGGGATCGCCAAAGCAAAATCACCTTCATCATTGCAAACCCGTTTTACCCCCGGGTGAGCTGGCGATAAAGCAAAAAAAGGCAGATCCACAGGAAACACTGAGTCCTCAAGAGAAAGCTGGGGCATCTCGGCCTGTCTGGCTGCTCTAGGAAGGCGCTTGATTCAAAGATCAAAGCTGTACCTTCCAAAACGGGGCACCCAACTTTTATTATAAATCTTAATAAATACATATTTTGTATTTTAAATAATCAATTAATTCATTATTGTACGTATAACATTAAATTTTCAATTGATGCAATACAAATTTTATTTAAAAAATTAAAGAAAGTATAATTGAATCGATTAATGAAAAATCGGTAAAATAACTATTATTGAATAATAATAGTATTTTTTATTCAAAATATAAATAAATATTTATATTTTTGGGATTTCTTCTAATCTTTCAAAAAAGCGAAAACAAATCCTGGTGGTACCTGGTCTATGAAATGCAACGACGTCGCGAATGTAGTCACATTGATCAAATATTTTTTCATCTGGAGGTGATACAGTGAGAATCCTACCTTCTTTCACAAGATCCCAGCAAACATTCCTTGTTTTGCTAATTCTCTCTGTTGCCTCACGACACAAGTAACTGTATTCGCCATCCGACGGAAGCACTGTCACAAGCATAATCAATTTACCAGGTGGAATGAGTTGTTCCTATTGAACATGCTTAATTCCACTGCAAACTGACTGTCATGTGGACAAAAGAAACGAAGCTGCACTTTAACAAAACTGTGTTTTGTTGGGCACCAGTACCATTGAGTTTCCCTTCCAACCTCGCATGGACCCCCAGTAATTACCTCGGAGGTTCTGTCTTTGTGAGGACGACGAGCTGTGAAATCATGAAAAGCCCGCAACATAGTTGCGGTGCAAAGTTTTGTGATTCACAACGATCTTGAGCCAAAATGGCTACGGTAAAAATGAAAAATTCGTGAAAATATACTATACTTTCATTTTTCTTGATTGTTTGTTATAATGGGGGGTGGGGTGGGGTGGGGTGGGGTGGGGTGGTGGGGTGGGGTGGGGTGGGGTGGGGTGGGGTGGGGTGGGGTGGGCTGGGCTGGGCTGGGCTGGGCTGGGGCGGGGCGGGGCGGGGTGGGGTGGGGTGGGGTGGGGTGGGGTGGGGTGGGCTGGGGTGGGGTGGGGTGGGCTGGGGTGGGGTGGGGTGGGCATTACGCACCCGGCCAGTTCGAGAAGCAAACCAGGGCTTGCAGAGTTTGAAGTTGGCAGGTCCTGCCCATTTGCTTTTGGCTCTGGTCCTTCTCCCGGTTCCTCGCAATATGTTCTGCCTTTTGAGCCTCCATTTGGGTGTTTCTCAAGATGGAGTTCCTAGTTCAGCTCGTTTTTGCTTGCCCCGTAAAACCATCCAAAGCCTAGCAGATTTTGGTCCATGTTTCCACTTACCAGGCTTCCATTGTGGGTACCTATTTTTGACCCACGGCCAAATGAGTGTTCTGTATTTCCATTATTTGTTTTAATGGCTGTTTCACAGTCGGACATAGTTTTTCATTTTTCCTGGGGGCGAAGACGCAAAAAAGGAAGCAGGGAGGCCTTCACAAATCGGTGCATGCGGGAATGACCCCGAAAAAGAAAACATCCAATTGGTGGTTTCCTTTGTTCGGGAATCCCCTAAAACCGGTTCAGATGACCCCGAGAGAAACCATCCATCCGATCTGGCTTCCTTTATTCGGGAAGAACCGGATCCGGTTCATTCCCAACAAGCGGAACGGGCATTCCCTACTGGGCACCGATCGCAAAATGGTCAAACACCCTAAGGGAAACCAACAGGAGCACCCAGTTCTGGCTTCTTTTTCCGTGTTGCTGTTTTTCCATAGTTGGTCTTGGTTTCCCTGAGAAGACCATCCCAGGAAAGAAG